CTTTTGACAAAAATATAAAAAATTTCGAAAAATCGAAAAATGTAGGACATCGTCCAAAAGGCGCACAAAACCAAAATTTTTTCAAAATTTTAATTTTTTTTTGGTTTTGTGCGCTTTTCAGACATTTTCCAGCATTTTGTTGATTTTTTGGAAATTTTGAAAAATTTGAATATTTTTTTTCTAATATCTGCCTAAGAGATGCCTGCCAAACTGGGTGAATGCCTCCACCTGTATCTGTTGGACTCGGCCTCTATCGCAAGCGGTTGCTCCCTGCCTCGGTGTCTGCAACAACTGGCCTCTGCGGGTCCTTGTCTGCGTCACGTGTTGCCTGCCGCACCTGGGCTTCTCAGAGAAGGCACTCAGAGATGTGTCATACAGAGACCGGTCCTCGCAGAGCCCGAGTCAAGCACAGACCGCATTCGTCAGAGACACAGTACATCAGAAACTGTCCGAGAGAGACCGGTTCTGTAAGGCATCAGGTGGTGGAATTTTGAAAAATTCCAAAATTTTCAAAAAATCAAAAAATGCTGTAAATTGTCCAAAAAGCGCACAATACCAAAAAATTTTGAAAAATTTCAACTTCAAATTGTTTTCAAATTTTTCAAAAATTTTAGTTTTGTGCGCTTTTTATACAATTTCAAGCAGTTTTTGATTTTTCGAAAAATTCGAAAAATTTTCAAAAATTACCCTCCCCGATCTCTACCACAGCCGTCTATGCCTGCCGGAACTGGTCACTGCCACATCCTGTCCCTGCCTGACTCGGTCTTCCAGACCCGGTATCTGTTAGTCTCCTCTGCCTCACCTGGTCTCTGACGGACTCGGTCTGCGTTGGAGGCATGGCTGTTGGGTTGGCGGTGGTGGCTTGACGGTGGCGACGGCAGTAGTGGTGATAGTGAAGATGTGGCGGTGGTGTTGGAGAGGTTTTTCATTGTAATATGTCTCACAAACTCTGGATTCTATTCCAAGTAATTCATAAAATCTACAAGGGAGTCTTGCTGTATCCTCAAAATATTTTAGTTTGCAACCATTTTATTTTTATTTGCAACTGTTAAAATGAATAGTTGCTTATTCTTGGTTATTTTCATTCATCATATTTTTATTAAATGAATGGCAACCCCTAGGATTATACCTTAAATTTTATATTTTTGAGCATAAAATGTTTTCTGTTTTTGTGAACATTAGTTTGGGCATATTTATGTAAAACAGAATAAATAACTGTTTTATCATGTGATTACATGCACACTTTAAGTAATTATTCAAGAATAACAAAATAAGAATAATGAGTTGTGTCGAAACAATGATAGAGTTTAAATGGTATGGTTGTACTGGTATCTGTGGTATCACATGCTTAATATGTGATAATTTTACTTTTAAATCCTTGTATCTAGTATCAAGAAATGAAGCGGTGGCAATGTAATTTAACTCTGTAGTTCATGTTTTGAAAACATAATGTTATTAATCTAAAGTTACAATCATGAATTTTGTGGTAATAATGAAGGAAAGTAGGTCGTTACTTTTCTTTTCCACAGCTGATTGAAGAATACAGAGGGACTAACCGAGAAATACAAATGTCAATTTCAGACATTTATAAGTTATTAAAAGTATAAATTTTTTGATGATAAATCATGTTTACTGATCTATATTTGAGAATTACAATTTTTCTCACGAGACATTATAATCTGACAGTAAACACAGTACATCCAGCATCAAATTCAAAATAATTCATGGTCAAGAAAGTGTCCCCAGACAATATCAACAAGAAATATGTTTCAGAAATTCATTATGTCATCATCTTTACCTGCTGTTTTATATCTGAAGGGCACAAAGTACTATGTTATATTGTCTATACTAATTGCTAATAAAAGATAGCATGCACAATTTATGACGAAATTTAAAACATTAACTGTACCTTATAATTTCATTGTTCTGTACATAATTAGCTCTACACATTACATATGTATAAATGTTTCAGCATATAACTGCCTATATTTTCAACATCTGAACATAATTAATTTAGTGGGTATTAAATTATGATTTGCCTTTAAAGTTATGCATTCAGCATAAGAATATGTATTAATATCATTGTGCTGTTTCTTGCAAAAAGAATTTACATTCATTGGGCAAAAATAGCACCACTGACATCACTGAAAAAGGGACACTATCATAAATTTGCAGTAAATTCATCAATTCCAAAATTCACCATTTAATAATAAAACTCTAATTTTAGGACAAAATTTTCCAAAAAAAATGTGTGGTAATTAAGAATTTAAATACAGTGTGTACTATAGCCTGCAAATGAGGCACACATGAATAGAATTAATTTCACTCCCATATGCGCATACTCAAGAACACATTTCAACTGTACACACAACTAAAAGTGGCAATGACCTTGAATATTTTGGAAATAGTGTTGGTTAATGGTCTTATAACAAACCCTTCCTTTATCATCTTACATTGTACGAAGGTTACATTACCATACAAGTTATTAATTTGTTGTTATTTACATAAAACTTACTGTTGCCATGTACGATTAAATTATTGTCTACTCTTTACATCCCTGCAACAATTCTGAAAGTAGTGAACAGCTGAACGCATGTCTTTGTTATATTATTTTGCAGCACAGGCAAAAGAAAAACTGATGTGAATCTAATACAGGGGTCGTCAAACCTTTTTATACCTACCACCCACTTTTGTATCTTTGTTAATAGTAAAATTTCCTTACCGCCCACCGGTGCCGCACGTACTGCCCACCACCATGAAAGCGGTACAGCTCGAAGACCGAGTGATGGCCGGTGGTTATACGCATTAAACTCGTGCCTTTGGCTACGGAGCTCATTCGCTGCTCCCTCGTTCACGAGTATACTTCGAGAAGTGTCCGGTGAATTATTATCTATATCCAAAGTTTAGAGATGGAATTCAAAAGTAAATTGCAAAAGCATATTTTAAAAAGTCAAACTCGCGAAGTTGTTAGCAATGTATTCGATATATGGAGGAAGAACAAAATTTGTAACAACAGACAAAAACCCCCACCGCCCACCATGAAAGCTTGAATCGTCCACTAGTGGGCGGTAGGGACCAGGTTGACGACCCCTGATCTAATACATGATACAGGCATTCAGAAATTGTACTTATGAGTTTTTGTCATCCTGTGTTATAAGAAAAAGAGAATCTATTGACATGGCATAGTTCTTCCAACTGTTATAATCAGGGCTCATAAAATAATTCAATCAAAAGTTTTACCAAATTACCAAATGTGAGAGATGTATATATACAATAAATCACAAGTGTCTGTGTCTGTCCAGCTGTCTGTCTACCATTTCAAGGCACTTCCAGACAGAATTATGATACAAAAATCAATATACATACAAACATCTACTAGCTACTACCCAAATTAGTAAGCAATTCTCAAAATGGGCCAAGGATTGAAACTGTGGACCATCTTCTAAATGGTAAGCTGGATAAAAAAGAACACAGGACAAAAAAGTTTCTTTCCACTAGTGTGTTCCAGGCAGTTCAAAGACCAACTTCAGTCACAGCCAAGATACCAAGCTATGTATGCGCAAGAGAATCTTATCTTCTAAATTGTAAGTCAGACACAAAAGTAAATACAAATATTTTATATTTACTCACATGTTCCATCAAACATGATAAACACTTCACCTACCAACTTTAACAAAGGATAACACAAAAAGTGTTTAATAACATTTTAAAAGACAAGACAAAATAAAACAGAACAAATGGTCCTCCCCTCCAAACGTACTTCAAAATCATGTACCAGAGACAGAATCAAGTACAAGGAACCAGCATTCAGACTTTTTTTTTACAAAAATCAATCCTAACTTTTAAATTTGGACAGTGGGTGATTAAGCGTGCTGAATCAGGTTTTACGTTAATCCTATAAACCTTTCTCAGACATGAGAATAACTTCTTTATAGCACTCAAAAGTAAAGACACGCCATTTATATAAGTAACATGGGAAACATCTAGTCTGACACAATGTGTTTAAAAATGTTGAAGATATTTTATCAGAAAAATATAACACATAACACACCAGTGAAAACTTACGTAAATCCTTAATTTAAAATACTGTTAAATTACAACTGGCCTTCTGAATTCTGAAGACAGGGTATGGCTGCACTGCACACGTTTTTCTTGGAGGTTCGAGGGTAGCTGAATGCATAGCAGGTTGCGGGATGCGGGAGACTGTCCGCACTGCACCTCCTCGTCGGCAGCGTGCTAGGTGCAGTGCGCGTAAGCAGGAAGGATGGCTCTCTTGAAGCTATCCAAGAAACTTTCATTGCTGGAAAACACAGCTTTGAAGCTTGATGACGTTATCTTCTGATTTGTGATGGGCGCCCGAATTCATTAGGAGAGTTTAATAATCTATATAGAGATGCACGGAAATTTAATGACTAATTTTTTGAGTACGTACGGATGTCAACAGCCACATTTGATCGTCTCTTGGAGAAACTGATGGACAATCACACAAGAAAAAACCAAATTTCTCCTGAAGAACGATTTGTTGTAACTGTGACACATAGTTTCCTGTTTCTTTAGCAACTTCTTCCCACTCTCTCCTCAACAACGCAGTATGTTTATGTAAATCATCGTTTGGATCCCACAGTGGCCTTCTACGAAACACAGCGCTGATCAAAACGTCTTCCACTGTCGTAGTTGCACTCAAGATAAATTACTCAAGGCTACACACTACTGATTTTGGTTGTATCCCGCTAGGTAGTGAGCGATTTTAACCGACAGGTTCGTTCTGCTAGCGGGGCGGGTAGCGGAGAGCTTCGAGGCAGGCGGGTCAGTGCGGCCGTCTACATAAGGTTTCTGTTGTTGGTTACAATCGCGTTCCCGCCAAGTGGCTCACTACTCTACAACCTCCAAGCGAAATACATGCAGTGCTGCCGTACCCATACTGATGCAGTGTGTATACGAGGTACAGAAGTCTTCGCACATGGTAAATTTGTGACTTAATTTCAAACATGTACATTAGCACAGCACTGACACAATAAAGAAACAAACACGAAATGACATCAGGTAGCTGTTGCTAGTCATTTCTTCCAGTGAATTAAGATGGCTGCCAATAATACTCAGAATATTTAATAACTGTTGTTATTTTATATCAAAGTACCTACAACATTAACATATTTGTAGAACTGTAAAACTGTTGTTCCCACAAGTTCTTTTTAGTCCAATCCAAATCACATTATATCCAATGCAGTTTAAAACTTAAAGATCCATTAGTCTTTTCTGGTACATTTGAAAACGATCTGTTAGATAGCTTAGAGAATAAAACCTTGTGTAGCAATAATGGTATAAAACAATTTTGTATGTAAGTCAGCCACTTTGACTAGTAAGTACAAAATGAGAACATTTCTTGAAATATACAAGAAGCTGGTATCTTGAGGTATCTAGTCCCACCCCCATCTAAATAATACTATATTTATCACTTATTCAATGATCAGTCAAAAAACCTTTCAGATGTAATAATTTTAATTCTTTAGACATGAAATAAAAATAAGAAATGGAATATGATAAATTAAATACATCAAAGATGCAATATCATGATGTAAATTATAGAAGTAAAACATCCGAATAAGTGAAAAGAGTACTTAAGAGGTCTGTAATTAAAAATATTTCAATTACCTGTGACCAGGTGTTCAAGGCAATGTCACTGCACACAACTCAATGCTCCACAGAAGTTACTTTGCTCATACAAGTTTAAAACAAACAGACAGCCACTCCTTACCTTCACTTATACCTTCTTTCCCACATAAAGAACTGATATTACCCATAAGTGAACTGATCAAGAATACATACCTCAGGGACATGCATGACTAAGAAATGTTGTCCCTAAAATGTATGAGAAGTTAATTCAATATGGTGGAGGCTGGTGGGAGTATGGGTTGTGTTGCTGGTTTTGCTGGTTGCCACCAGACTGCTGTTGCTGCTGAGACAGTTGTCGCTGTAGATGCGCCACCAGAGCTGGTGCTTGCTGGTTTGACTGTTGTTGTTGCGCCATCATCTGCTGCCTCATTCGCTGCTGCAAGTGGTGGGTCATGCTTAATTTCAACTGCATATGTCAGAAATAAACTGCTGACTGCGGTTCTTATGGTTCTTTCCTAATCCAGTATTGGCTGGCTTGCAATGTACACTCATTTAACAGGGGGGCTTAAAATAAAATATACCAATTTTTACACATTGTGAGGATAGTTATTAAATCTGTAAGCATTAGTCAAAGTTGGTGAACTATTTTCAAGCTCCTTGTAAAATATCTGAGTTTCATAAGTTCTAGGCCTTCTGTTGTTCAAAACAATCAGTAAAATACACATCTCTCAGTCTCGTAATGATTAAAGCCAACTGTTAGCCAGATGATGTTTTTGAATTATTGCATTACATCCAGAGCTGATTTAGCGTTATACTTAACGTACATGATTATCACTTGGTCCATGGAGATGCTGCTGCTGCATAATGTTACTGAAACAATTTTCTGTAGGATTTGACGTTTTCACAGCAGTGAGTCTGAAGATGGCTGCCTTCTGGGTTGTTGTGTCGTGTAGTCTTGTAGACGTTCACCGACGTTTCAGAGGTCCTTGCTGCTGCCATCATCAGGGTGATGAGTAACTTCATTGCCCTCATGATGGAGGTAGCAAGGACCTCTGAAACGTCGATAAACTTCTACCAGACAACAAGGCGCAACAACCCAGAAGACAGACATCTTCAAACAATTTTCTGTAATCATCTATCGTATATCGATATTCATTAAATCTAAGATCTCGTACGTAGACCAGAAATCTTACTTTACTAACCTCTGAAAAGTATGTTATATAGTAAACCTACTTCCTTTATAATTTCTTCTCATTTTTAATGCTTTCCCGCAACTGTCGTTTTCCCATATTCATCGTTTTTATTTCACTCCCTTGTCAAAAACGATGCATCGAGGTTTCACTGTACTTTACACACAACCAAAAACACATGATTGGACCATGTACTCAACAAACCTGCTGGAACTGCTGATTTTGTTGTTGTTGCTGTGTAGCATGTGGAGGTTGGGGTACTTGAGTCCCACCAGGTCCTCCTCCCCCTGCACGGCCATATGGAGGTGCTGCCTGTGGCTGACCTTGACCCTGTTGACCCATGGGACCACCCATTGTAGTCATTGTTACATTTGGAGCCTACAATAAATAAATTTTAAAAAAATAAGTCTGTCTGACTTTATGCTCTGCAGGTGCTTGGGGGTGAGAGGAGGTACAGCTCCTACTCATTCTTAACCTCAGTACTAAATGGAGGTGTGGCCAGCGTCACGCCCCGGCCGCGCTTTACCCCCAGGAAAGGACCCGGGTACCCACTGGATGTGAGGCTGGGTGGTCCTCAGTGCCGGTCTGGACGAAGAGACTAGAGGAAAAATCCTCTGCCCCCGTCAGGGATCGAACTCCAGTCATCCAGTCTGTAGCCAGTCACTATACAGACTGAGCTACACCGGCTCATGGAGCCTACAATACAAGATAAATTATGAATGGAGAAGTTTGATTTCTGCACTAAATGTAGTCTACAACCAGTTTTAACATGGTCCCATAACTATCTGATGGGACAGTACGATTTTTTTACAGGTTACCACAATGCTAACTTTACTGATGTGTCTCAAATTCATTTCGGTAAATTCAGATAATTTTAATCTACATAGCATTTTCACACACTGATCTACTTCCATCATGATGACATTATCTTTGGTGTAAATTTATCCCGATAAGCAGAGGCAGAAGAGAACATCAGTCAAACAAAGATTAAACACAACACCTTAAATTCAAAGTACATCTTAAATGTAGCTTCAAATTTAAGACCACACTTTAATGTACATGCCTATAATGTGAATTAACCATTAAGCATTAGGAATAAGATCAAATTTGCATTTAAATAATTCCACTAAACCAAACTAAAATTAACTAAATTAATTAATTTATCTAGCCTAATCAACCAAACCCAACCCAACCTAAACTAACCTAACCTAGTCTTCGACATTTTCAAAATGTTCAAGATTTCCAAATACTTTTAAAATTTAAATTTTTTGTTATTTTATTTTCAAAAGTTTTGAAAACTATTTAACAATTTTCTGAAAATTTCAAAACATTTGCAAAATTTAAATTTTTTGAAATTTTAACAATTTCAAAACAAATTTTGACTTTTTTTAACATTGTCTGAATTTTACTAATTTCTCATACATTTTTAAGATTTTAAAAGTTTCAAATATAAAAACTGTAAGAGCCTGGAATTCAAAATTTAAAACTTACGGCTAACTGAACAAACTTAGGCAACAAGCAGTTTGGGTCCCATCCCACAAAAACTTCAAAATGTTCACACTTGTTTTACACAAACAATAGATTGACATTGTTATACAAACCTGTAAGTATGGAGGTCTTGCACCCTGCTGCACTGCCATGGCTCTCTGCTGGGCTGTCATGCCACCTTGAGGGCCCATATATTCTCCTGCTCCCCTAGGCTGCTGGGGAGGAATGGGTCCACCAGAGCCCATCATACCTGGGGCCTGCTGCTGAGACACAAACCCTCCACCTTGCTGTCCTGGGAACCCTCCCATCATGCCCTGTCCAGCATGTCCCATCAACTGCTGCTGTGACACCATCTGTGACCCAGGTTGTCCTCCATATCCAGCATAGTTCTGGTTCATCCCTACACAACATGCAGACACCTCACTACTGCAAACCGCATACAATTATATCTTAATCTTATGATCTTGGAAACAATAATGAAAACCAGACACAGAATGTATTATTAAATACTTCCAGGTTCATATAATTAATGTTCTTTAGTATCAGCAGGGTAAATTAGGTTAGGTAGAAATTGGCCGCGCGGGCCGCTTGGTCGCTGGGACCGTGGGTTCGAATCCCACTCAAGCCATGGATGTTTGTCCATGTTTTTCTGTGTTGTCCTGTCCTGTGTACAGGTAGAGGCCTTGCGATGGGCCGATCCCTCGTCCAAGGAGTCCTACCGAATGTCCATAGATCAAGCCAACGAGAAGTTGGGACCCGCAGTGCTCAGACACTTGAAGAGCGGGTCGTTCCCAGTATCCGAGTATCCCAGTATCCAGTAGGTAGAAATTATACCATGACCACTTCCTTCCAAATCCTTTCCAATTCATTATTCACTATTATCCTCTCATTCAATGCTACATAGTCTGAGATACTGAAAAGTGTTAAATAAACTATAAATAGATATAAATAAATATTCATAAACTTCAACTGTAATAGATTTAAAACAAGTGTCCACCTGCAGACTTAATATAGCACTATGACTCCTAAGATAAGTATTTTTAATAGAAAATATGATGTCTCAAACCTTGTTGCATGCCTGTATACATGGTGGGACCACCCTGCTGCTGAGGGAATATTCCTTGCTGAGGAGGTGGCTGCATGCCTGGTGCGCCGTGCTGTGCTCGTAACTGCTGTCTGGCAAACCACACAGATTCAAACATCAGTTCTAACATTTCTAAGTTTTTTCAACTAGTATTCAGTGATTTTAACCTGACAGCTTTATGAAACATTTGCTTCTTCATTAGTATTCCTACAAACATGCAATTACACAAGCCAAGAAAATTGCTGTTATGACAATACAGCAAATTTCTTGTTCCAAGAATGAGTAAACACATCATAAAAATTAGAATGAATAACATAGATTTTTAACAATAATTTGATTCACATTCAGTTCACATGTGTGAGGTCACAATTATTCCATCATCTGTATGCAAATAGAAAATATAAGAGACCTATCTGAGATTTGAGGCTGTCATGGTAGTGATGGTGGTGACGGTGATGATGATATGAGTTTGGCAACTGTGTATACACCCCCTTATAAACAGCAGAGGTCATTTCATCCCTCTCAGAAACAGAGTACCTTATGAATTGCTGCCGCTGTATACTCTGTGGAAATCCTGGAGGCGGCTGCTGTGTTCCTAAGTACTGGTTTGATGGCAACCTCATCCGCAGCATCTGTGACAGAGCCTGTTTGGGATTTGACTGGTTCAGAGGACGCTCAAACCGTGGACCACCTACTGGTAAAGAATAAACATATAGAATCACCATTAATATGTTACAAATTTCAATGTTTGCAGTATGGTAACTTATGCTACCTTGTGACAAAAAATTAGTGGAGGCTTATGCATGGGGGGGTGGGGAGAGAGAGGACCACTCATAGATTTAATATGAACACAAAGGGAACAATTTTAATATTACATTTTAATTATTCTTAACACATTTACAAAGTCCTTCTAAACAGTATGAGGTTCCATAACGGATATAAGAAATTATCCCATTCGCTTTACAGCAAAGATATATTGTTTGTGAATGGATTATCACTCACTTCAATTAGCAAATGCTTGCTGAACATGATCAGTGAAATATGGCTTCTTGAGACGCAAGTTTCCCAACAAATAGCTTGCTCCCCATTCCCCTAATTGATTTTTGCAGCATTTTATGAAGAAAGTATCAGTACATTTTAGCCTGTCATGTAGTGTTAATCTCAACATGCTGTGTGACACAGATTATTACAATATTTACTACTTAAAACTGAAAGTTTCCAGAACTCTGCTAGAAGTCACACTTTACATGAGATAAACAGAAAACACAATAATTCTAGCTACTTAACACAATGTTATTGAGAAAAAATAGTGCTGTTTACTAAAGCTTCAAGCTGTTCGCTTTAAAATACGATATATGCACTAATGTAGTTGTTCAGCAGAAAATTAACAATGTTACCCTTTTGCAGATATTTGTCCCTAACAGGATTCTTTATTTTATTCAAAACCTTTGTAACATGGAATTGTCTGTCGAATAAGCAACTGCCTCATTGCAATTTCAAAATATTTAATGTGCATGCAACTTGTACCCCAACAGAACCCCGTTAGCGTTAGCAAAATTCCCGTTTCCATTTTAAGGCTCTGTTTACCATTTCCAGCAATGCGTTTCGTACGCAGGAATATTGTTATCTGGGAAGGGACGATGTCTTGCGATTGCCCAGGACTCCGCCCTTAGTTAGCCTTTTGGTTGGTGGTTGGTTGGTCATATGGATACATCAAGCATTTGACTCTAGAAGTAAAATGGGCATGCAGTGACAAGTATGCCTGCAAAAAAACAAACCTGCTGGTAACTGTTGTGATGAATAGTAGCCCTGCTGCTGCTGTTGTTGTTGTTGTTGCTGCTGTTGTTGTTGTTGCTGCTGTTGCTGCTGCTGGCTGTAGCTCCACTGAGACTGTGTTGGAAACATCCCTCCCTGGTTTGCGTACGTCAAATGTGGCACGGGCGGTTGTGGTGGTTGCTGCATACATTTCACCGCAAAGGAAAAATTTTCAATTACTTCAAAGTGATTCAAAGTGATTGATATCAATGATATTAAAATGTATTACTGAAGTATTTTTACAACTCTGTAAATGATCAACATTCTAATCAGTGAACACACATTATTAGGGTATGGATGATTTGTGATTAAGAACTAATTTTATATGTATCAATATATATTCAAACTGAACTAAATATTTTGCAGCATGCCATTCTAGGCATATAAGACATTATTTTCCAGGAAACAATAACCAATCAACAAACATTCATTTTCTATTTGAATACACAGTCCGCAGACCACTAGTATTCCACTACATGGCAAAACCTGTCTAAAATGAAATCTAGATTAAATACAAACATGAACTGAAGATGGCTGTCTTCTGGGTTGTAGCACCATGTAGTATGGCAAACGTTCACTAACAATTCAAAAGTAACTGTTGAGAACTCATCACCCTGGTGACAGAGGCAGCAAAAACCTCTGGAATGTTGTTAAACTTCTACAAGACTACACAGTGCTACACACCAAAATATAGCCATCTCCATACTTAATGCCATGAGAACTTCAAATCCTACTTTTAAATTTTAAAAAAGACTGAAAAGAAGAAATGTCAGGTTCCCTGGGATTTCACTGTAAACAGGTTTCACTGTTGTAATTACTGAACACAGCAACAAAAGTTCCTAAGGCAAAATAAATATTCTGCAGGGTTATAACATGCAAAACTGTATGCTGTTCAGTTACAAACAACCGTACTTGATAAATATATAAAAAAAGAAAGAAAAGGTGAGTGGTATTCAATTCTAATGGTCATACAAGCATCGCCAAAGGTCGTGATCAGATGGCATAGAAGGCATAACACAAGGGCAGGGGCTTCGTATGGAAACATTTTAATTAAAATTAACATGAAACTAATATCAATGTTCAAATAATAGATGCCACACCATTCACCACATAGCTCAATGGTGAACGAACTTGTATCTGCCACAGAGAATGCCAGAACACTTTAAAACATATGAGAAAGTTATTTTTGTTTTTCGAACACATCCATAGTGGCACACCTGTAAAAAGAAAATCCTCTCTAAACCTGAGAAACCCAACCAAAGTGTGTCATGTGACACCCCCCTCTCCCCTTGCTTCTGGTAAAGTCTCACCCATTCCTCACATCCAATAATGCTCCACACACACAAACCATCAACTTAACAAATACATTCTCTCATTTTTTTTTACCCATGAAATATATTTTATTATGCCTTATAGACCACTTGCCAACAACTTATGGCCAACTGTGCACATCAATGAAATTAAATAAGTGGAAAAATATTCACTTGGAATCAATACAAGTATTCTTACACTAAAATAGTATTTTGTCACATTTTTCAATAATGTAAAAACTTGAATAAAAATTTTCTTGGATATTATCCATCGTCTAGTAAATAAAATATAAAACGTAAAACGACATTTCGGAGATGGGGCTCTATCTCTGTCTTCAGGTTCCTACTCAGTTGGGCCCACTAGATAGAGCTAATCCCTATCTCCGGAGATAGAGCCCCATCTCCGAAATGTTGTTTTACATTTTATATTTTATTTACTAGATGATGGATAACATCCAAGAAAATTTTTATTCAAATGACTCATCACCATCGTCAAGAACTTTTAGATTTGATATAATGTAAAAACTATTCAAATAAAACACAGTTAAATCTATCAAAACATATAAAACTATGGACACGGGTGTGTAGATAAAAATACAAGGCAAAACTTGAATCTCAAATTAAGAAACAAAACATAACTACAGCTTTCAATACATAACAGTAAGACACCCAATTACAATAAATAATTTGTTTAAGAAAATTGTGTAATCAATAATGTGAAAATATAAATGACTAAAAATACACCAACATACAAGGAAAGAAATTAAATGCCATGTAATATTGACAACAGTTAAGCTAAAAAGAGGTAAAAATAATACAACCTATATAAGACGTGAAGCAAATGATTAAAATATTTAGGATGAATTTCTCTGAACACCTGCAAAATTTATGGTTTGATTTATCCCGCCAAATTATGAGCAGTTACCATAAATCTAACATTGGTAATATATTGTATATACAAAGCAATTCTTTAATGAGCAGTTCAGGTAAAACAAAAAAATTACAACAGATGATGCCGGACAGACGACGAAAATATGAACCTTGAGTCTCAGAAACCATGCATAGCTTAAATACAGAGTAACATTAAGAGAGCAACTGAGCATGCCTGACTCTTATGTATACATACACCACAGTCCGCCGCACCTAGACACTGGAATAATAGCAAACATTTCAGAAAGTTTAAACAATTTCATTTGCAATAATTAAATATCAAATGTTAATAAAAGCATGTATAGTAGAAGTCTGTTATAATAAGATTTCACAACATTTGGAAGAGATGTTGATATACCAATAAGCATGTGGAAAGGTAAAAATTATCCAAATCAAATAAGTTAATTTCATATTACCAATTTATACTGCAAAAGTTTTAATTAAATATTCTACACTAATGAAACAGTGACAATCTGACACAATGCATACTATTCAATGAAGTGACAGCACCTGAAGAAGGCCATATACACAGAAACATGTCATTAAGTTTTAAATGTGAATTTTTGATAATGACAAAAGTGTAGTAAAATTTTATAAGTCTTCTACAGCAAGCAAATACTGACCCAAATATTGTACCACCAGAAGAATACATTCTTCCTCTTCTTTACTAACTTTAATAAATCATTGTAAAAGACATGTGCTCCTCTTACACAGATAATGCTCTGATAATGATACAGTTAAACTACAGAATAAACATGTGATTTGTTTTGTGTTACTACGACACTACCAAGCAAGAACTAAAATGTATCAAAAGTGAGACAGGTGTATGCAGTGAAGTTTGCTGATAACGCATACACACTCAGTCATGGCACACACGAATGAAGAAAAGCGACAATCAAATGTGACATCTTTATATAGATGTGATGGAAGTTTTACAATTGACTGAAGTGAATTACAATGATGGTAAATGGTATAGATGGTGACTGGTGATACTATCAAAGATGAAGTTACTGAAAAAGAAACAGAATAAGAAAAACAAATGGGCAAAGATCAAGATGGGCAAAATAACACAGATACAACATGGAAAGTCATAAACAATGACACTGGACAAAGTGAACTACTTTCTTTGGGGAGGGGGGGTTTGTAATGAAGACTACTGTGAATTCCATACGTCAGCAACCTTATTCCAATGGAAAGTTAAGAAGTCCTGAAAATTTGTGCAATTTGTCAGTATTAATAAAAAAAGCTATCCACAGATTAAAAAAATATATAAAAATTCTAAATTATGGAAGGGGTGACTATCGTTCAAGTAATACTTGCTGTGAAAAGCATCTAAACGCTGCACAAAGGCACATGTTGATCACCCTTCACCCAATAATATCTGTGAATTTTTACAAATACATTAAATTAGAAAAACCATAAACTGCATCAAAACTGTACTTTAAAAGCATGTATATATACACACAATTAATGAAAGATAAGAGTAAGAGTTGAGAAATTTGTACATGCCTGTTCTATATATACCTGCACTTGCTGCGGCATGCCTGGCATTACAGGCTGCCCATTTGATGGAGCACTGGGTCCACCAGCTTTTGGACGTCTCCTTCGCTGGGCCTTTGGTCTCTTATTTCCCCCAGGGCCTCTTGGAGACTGGTCAGAAGAGTTCGGAGTGTCTGCTTTTCCATCATCCTTTAACTGGTTGCAGTACACACATGAACACTACGCTTCAGGGTTAGAAAAAGTTCACTCTCAAAGGAAAACAACGGATATAACCCTGAACCCCTATCTCCTTCAGGAAAAAATAAGCATTCATTAGCATACTTCAACATAAGAAACTGAATGATATTGAGGGCATCACGCCAGAAGGCCACATCAACAAAATGGTTGCACTTATTTGGTTTCACAAATGCGCATTATTAGCATTCATACACCTAAAGGTAAATGTATCTCTGCGTTTAGCAGCATCAGCATTATGCCTTCCTGCCATGACATACGTTCCGATACCTTGTTATCAGACCAAGTATCTCAGATTACGCACATATGTTGATATGCCCTCAATATGATAACAATAATAACAGTAACAGTAGTAATAATAAGATGACCAGATTATGGAAACTCTTTCCACATATTCTGAAATGCAGATCAAAAGAAAATTGTTAAGCATGGGTCACTTGTAAATAATGACAGAAATCAAAATATTATTAACTCTTTTGGGCAAAAAGTATTATTACATTGTTACAAAATTTATACATTCTACTGTAAAACATTCTCCCCCTTCAAATACTAAGTGGTAACTATAATTGGATGTCAGGGTCATCTGTTTCCACATTGAATTTTAATTCACTTACATTCACTATACCACCAAAGTTTTAAACACAACACGCATGCAATAAGACTAAATACAGGTCAACAGAAACAGAGAAGCTGGAAAAACATTACAATTCTTATTACCACAATGAACCACTGCAGGAAAGCACAGAAGGACTAAACTGAGGAAAACCAGGTCACAATAGCTACTGTTAATGGACAATGCAATATACTGAATATAGAGAACATGTAAATAATGATACATGAACTGAAAGATTATAAATGCTAAGGCTTAAGGAGTTAGCAAAGAACACAGAAAATGATTTATAGTCCATAATTATTAATTTAATGTCTCAATGACAACCATTTCAATAAAGAATAACTACTGCCCTAAGCACATAAATATTTTAAAACTTGGTGCCATACTAACATACGTAATTAGAAATTAGGAGACAATCATGTATTTCAGTCCTTTTCAGATATTACAATTACTCATTAGAAAGAACATTCTCTGAATTTAAGAAATATCTGTTGTACTGTATAGCAATGCCTTACTGCTATCAAGCATTTGGTCCCATTTGTTAACCAGACTCTGTAATGTAAACATTTTATTAGCTACTTTGTTTTCTTGTTCTCTACTTGGAAAAACAGAAGTGAAAACATAAAACTGTGAGCACTAGAGTACATCAGAGGACAGGCTATATCTCAAATTCTACAACTCTCAGTTCTCTATTTAAAAGTTACCTGGAATTTACCATCACAAATTGTTTCACAAATAAACATTTCATTAGCCCAATGGCTCCCCCTTTCATTGCTAGACTATGCTACTACAGTAACATAAATTTGAGTTTCCCTTTTAAAAGCAGGAATTTCTATATAAAATAAGGCAAGTTTAAGAAATAACTAATAAGTCTTTGTCACTTAAGTGAAGATTCAGAGGTACTGGGAAATAACAATAAACAATCAAAATTTAAATTTGCAGTCTGAAATGTTCACATAAACACTCATGATGACTGGTGGTGAATGATTATGGTGATATTGTTAATTAAGGACTCATCACATGGCAAATATAACAATGTGTATGTGTTTATAATTATGTTTTGACCTAAGAAAGAATAAGAGAATTAACCACATATTTGGTTTATGGAGTACCCAAGCATATTCTTTTAAGTAAAAAAAGTAAAGCTGTCCACCTCAACACTAGATGGGGGTCAGTGGTCAGCATCACCCCCCAGGAAAGGACCCCAGTATCCATTGGATAAGAGGCTGGGTAGGCCCCAGAGCCAGTCTGGATGCAGAGGCTAGAGGAAAAATCCTCTGCCCCCATCGGGGATCGAACCCCAGTCATCCAGCCAGTAGCTATTCACTATACTGACTGAGCTATACCGGCTCCTGCATATTCTTTTATTTAATTTTTAATATGCGTTTAATTTATTCAAGGCTTATATAATTGTCTTTTTCCACTTCCACAAACATTTTTCTTCCTCAATCTTCCCATTTTATGTTTCTTAAAGTCATATGATAGGAGCAGGTGTACCTCAGTCGGTACAGTGACTGACTATGGACTGGAGCAGGTGCAAAGGATTTTTCTTCTAGCTTTTACATCCAGACCAGATCTGGGGCCCATCCAGCCACCTATCCAGTGGGTACTGGGCATGGTTTCCTCAGGAGTAAAGTGTAGCCAGGGCATAACACTGACCACTCAAGCCCATTTAGTGCTGAGGTCAAGAAGGAGTAGGATTTTTATCTCCTCTGCACCCTCCAACTGACTTCAAGGCACATACTGGTGACAGTTTTACTATTACCAGTCATATTTTGCTTTCTACTGCAGTTAACACATTGAATGTAAGTCACACAGTATGAAAACAAAGAGATAGAATCAGTAAAATTCAGGCATTTAAAAGCCAAATATGCAGAATGTTTTTCTTATCACCCCTTATTTTTGTTACACAGTGTATTAAGTGTCATGCCCTCAGAAGTATCATACCCATAGTAATACTCCACCAAAGCAATGTATCCAACGGCTGCTGTCCACAATTTAAACTGGCAACACAAAATGAACTGAAATGGCAATTAAGTATCATTAATTTTAGAAAATTATAAAATAATCCGTAGTATATAAATATTAAACACATAGAAAATTATGCTTACTTTTTCCAAAGGAAATAAAATATGTTTAATAACAGAAAAATTAACATGGAATAAGTCCAACTAAATAAAATATGTGACAACATTACTTCCATAGCAATAAACATAAATTTCTTCCTCCTTTTCATTTATACCAGTCCCACCGCAGATAAAATTGGTTTGTTGATAAGAAATTAGCCACTCAAGAGGCTAAATACTTACTGGTTTCTCCTGAGGAGGATCAAGTTCTTCTGGCGGGAGTGGTGGTGGATCCAAAAAGTATGCTGGGCTCTTCAACAAAGAGTGAGTATGGTATTTTAAAAGTCTATGCGTGTCTTCATACCATAAAGGCTTACGTTCCATGCGAACAGCTCCAAACCAAGACCATGACAGAGGAGCTGGATTTTTATGACCTTCTAACAGATCCCAAGGACTTACTCTCTGCTTCTCAAATACTTGCAAACCCTACAAAAATATTCAAGTAATAATTAAAACCTGTAATTGTTGTTATTAATAAGGACTTTATGACCTGAATTGAAAGTGAGTGTTCACATACCTGTTTCTTGTCTATAGAATCAAAACCTGCGATCTTATTTCCTTTTGTATCAGTGAGACAGCCCATTGGCTGACAGACTACCACTTCCGCCGTCACCTTTGGCAATGGTAACAATTGCCGAACATGCTGAATTGATGGTGAGGAACGATCTCCCAATTCCTGTGAAATGAAAAGCATTTGACTTATCAAAACAATGATTTTAAGATACTGACTTATCATGCAAGTCAGTAAAAATATGAAAACCATTTACTTATTTCTTAAATGTTACAATTTGTAATAGTATTTGTGTACACGCCAAGTTTTTGAAGCAGATGGACAAGATAGGTTCAAATGCACTTTATTTCTCATTTCATAATTTAAATTACTTTCATCACTGATTCATTCGTTCTTTGACTCTGAACCTACACATCCAGAGAAAAGTCAGAATCCAATCACATGCATTACTGCAAGCATTCTTTATAAATACTAGGTGACTAGCATTTTCATCTTTTATGCGAACCGCATCTTCCACGAGTCTCACAGTACATGCAGTACGACAAAAAAATACTAACCTTTTTCAGTTTCTTCATGAGGTTCTGATAGTGCTTCCGATTCTCCTCCTTTTCAGACTGTGAATCTGAGACAAGTGTTGAGTGTATTAACGTTGCCAACATGTCTATCACAGTTGTAAATAGCTCCCTGCAAAACACATCAGGTAAAATAAATAATACTTCATTATCACATAGGTACAATAAAAAGACATGCTGAGGAAGGGAGTGTAGTATCATACCATTCAAATTCCTGGTGTATCTAAGTAATTTTCTCCTTCTCATTCCTCTAATTCAGCTCTCACAAGCTTCTTTTGTAAACACTCATTAGTATGAAACATGTAACTATTCTGTATGCTGGTCTGGTCACTTACGAATTATTATTAAGATCAATGACTGCGTAACTGATGAGCTGTACAAGAAGAATGGCCCAGTCTGTGGTAACAGCTGTATTGCGCTGGATTGTGTCAAACATTCCTCCAACAAGACTGAACCGCAACTGAAGCGCATCTTGCATCAGTGCTCGTCCTCTAGGGTCTTCATAATTCGACAGCCTTTCCTGTTCATATAGCAAATATCGCAAGAATTACATACCACTAACACATTTCTCCCTCAGTTAATTAAATGGCTCCAGGGGGTACCATAATAAATGCCTTATATTTAATATTAGTTTGTACGCATGACACATTATCTCACCGCAGTGATGGCCAAGATGAGAATTGTGTGTGCAAAGTGCATTATTCTTTTCCGCTTAATTTCTGTGAATGCTGTGGGGCAGAGATCAGACATTTCATAACCCATAAGTTTACATGGCTGATGTACAGGACAAAGAACCTAAACAAACTGGAAATATATATATGGGTTGATGTTGCAAGCACTTCACTTGCCCCTGTACATTTATGGACTTGGCAATGAAAGGGTTAATTGTTATAATTCCAAATGCACGTCCTTCTGTTGCGATTTAATGAACAAATGATAAAAAACTGAACATAAAAGTAGAGTAATTAAATCAATCACAAGCAACAAATATAAACCACTAAGCTCTTTCTCAAGTCTCAGTTCCATACTTACATCTTTAGACAGCAGGAAGAACTGATTAAGTTGAGAATGTAAAGAAGTAAGCAGGCCTTCTCGCTGATCATCTTGACCCTTTAAACAAGTCAGAACCAATGACAAGAATGGCTGATGGCTCAGAAGTGATGAACTGCGGTGGACATTCCGTTCCTTGTCACGGTTCTTTGATGACCAGTTCCCACTCTCAAGAACTTGTCCTTCAAAGTTTAATAAAATAATATTAAATACAAGAAACAACGAAGGAAATAAATGCAGAGCAAAACATACTGTCTATGTTCTGAAGACTTATCTAAATGTTTAATGACCCATGAAGCATAATAATAAAATTCAAATTATGCTCTATTGCTTACCTGCAACTTTTAGCACCCTGCCCTGCACCGCACTTGGTAGTTTGGACACCAACGGAGCCACGAGCCATATTGAGCCGGGCTTGCTTGGCCTCACGCCACTTCGCTTCTCTTCCTTGCCATCTGAACCACTGCTCACTCCACCAGTTGTAAGTTGAAACACATCAATAGCTGCTTTGGCCACTGTGTCCAACCACTGATTCAATTCACTAGAGCCAGGGGGAAACTGTGTGAACATCAGCTGGAGGTCCAACCAGGACATTCGTAATGTCCATTGGTCAAGATTCTGCAAAAAAAAAAGAAAAAATCTTTGCTCTGCCATAAGAAAATTAAACCATTTTACAGCCTGATGTATCACCGAAATAAATATATGTTGAAATACAAGTGAACTTGCTTGAATTTTTAACACAGTATATCTTATTTACAAAATTCTTTGGTATTTCTACTTTTTGGGTGCACTTCATGCTTTAGTGTAAGCAAATAATGCCTTATGGGCCCATCGGTGTCTGTCGGTCACGTCTTTAATCATATCGTTAAAAGCTGTGACATTGGATACCAATATTGCTTTGATATTTCCTTGGTGGTCATGTTGATGTCTCATGCATGATCTGGCATGAAGTACACCTTTAGAATGTCAGTGTACTCCAAAGACCGGACCTTTCCAATCTTGTTTTCTGTTTCTCTACACCATAAATTGATCATGCCAACCTCCAGAATCCTAGCAATAATATGTCTCTGGTCAAGTGATTCCTCTGTGGCAGCTGTGGTCTCTGGATAACAAATCATATGAAGAAGACGCTGAGCCTAAAAGCAAAACACACTAGTCAGTTAACATACCTAAAACCAAATATCAATCAACAACTGATGGCTGTTTCCTTCTTACTTAGTTATCATTAATAGGATTTCTTCACATTCTAGCATAAGCAGAAAACATCTTAAGGGGTCATCCATGTCTGTTTGTCTCTCTGTCACGTGTTTTTCCTATGGGGTAGGCATAACTTGAGAACCCACCGTTATGCAATAATGGGAAGTAACTGTGGGATAACCCAATTTTTTTCTAATGACATAGGGTAACTTACTGCAAGAAATACTTAAGGTGCAATAATGACTTGAGATCTGGCATGAAGAACATCTTTGGAATGTTAGTGTACTCCAAAGCAAGGTCAACAACATTTGCATTAAAAAATGTCTGGAGATTATACTGTTTCTTTGCATTATTCTAGTAAAGTATAGCATTATTATTCTTGTCCATTCTCAGCTTATTTAGTGCACTGTATTTTCCAGTGTTTCTTGAGCATATATTAAAGTTGGCAGCCCAATGCGTATAACCTTTTGTAAGAGTTAAATTTAACTCATTTTTTTTTCTAGTTGTCAATCCTAGGATTGGTTGGCCCACCCATTACGGGGGGTTTTCCTTGCGAAGATACCATGGTGGTTTCGCCTTGCCTTCTATGGCCAGTCTTTACCCACCAGACTGGAAGAGGAGACGCAGACAAACATCCATGCCTTGAGTGGGACTCGAACCCATGGCCGCAGCGGCCAGGCGCACGAGGACCATGCCTCAGACCGCGTGGCCACTGAGCCGGCATTTAACTCATATTAACGCATATACGATCTGTCAGAACTAATAATAATCTTACAAGTTCACTCACAATATTAAACCAATGCATTCGGCTGTGGATATCCAGATTACATATATTAGAGCCTGAAGGTGGCCCACTAAGGTCGGAGCATGTAGCTCTAAATTAAAATCGAATTTGTCAACAAATCTGCTGATATTGTTACGTGAGATGATGATTTCATCTTTTTAATTATATATTCTATTGTAATTCATGTACAATATTCATATCACACCTGTTTAGGTGTCAGCATACTGTCCAGTAGCATATCAGTGTGACAAAGCTCCTCAGGATTTTGAAGACATCGTTCCAACACCCACTCCTGACTACAGATCTGCCGCAGGACATGTTGAGCAAAGTCAGATAAACCTGCGGCGGTCTCCATTGTACTGGCTGTCCCCCCTACAGATGATGCTATTGGCCTGTTAACACAATTAACAAATAATGTCACATCAAAGGACAATCTGTAACACTAGAACTGGTTATTCTTCAACAATTTACCAACTTTCAAACATAACTTCTGAAGTAATTACCTAACAAAGTCTAAAGGGTAAAATTCTTCCCTACATACTGACAACAATTCAGCTGGTGATGAAATTCTGTCTTTTGTGGAACATAAAAGTTCACTACCATGTTTACCAGAACCTACCACAGAAATTTCTCTTGATCCAGATGAATCTACTCCACGGCTTCATATTATATTTCTCTAAGTCCAATTTAATATTATCCAATCATCTATGCTAAGGTATCCCAAGTAAACCATACACTTCAGATTTTTTCAACAAACATTTTGGATTTCTTATCCTCCTCCTCCTCCCCCCCCCATGTGTTTACAAGATCCACTCATCTTATCTTCCTTGGATTCAATCACGCCCATTAACATTTGGTAAACTGTACAAATTAGTTAAAGGATGCCAAGGTTCATCACTGTTAATACTAAAGCTCACCACTGGACATAATTTTGAGCCAGGGTTTCATCCGTGTACAATACCCATAACCTTGTCTTCCAAGATTCCTCTTTAAATCAATCAATCAGTCATAACTCAGTAGTTTGAGTAACAATTCCCATATAAGATAAAGCAAAACTGCACAAGAAACATAAAAGACTTTATTAATAGTTTTCAGTTCTAAAAATTCGGTATTTAAGTGCATCTGCAATGATCCTAACAAAGATTATGACTGAATAAATCAAAGAACAAAAAAAAAAAAAAACACAAGCTGTATTCCACAAGGTTAACAGAACAAAGCAATTTCTAACACAAGACATAAATATGGCTTCCATTCTAAGAGTGAAACATTCATTGAAAGTGGAACTCCAACCTAGTCATGCTAATAAATCGTGCGTTAAAAAGAAATTAATTCTGGGAACACTCTGAGACAACCCCTGCAACTTTGTCTATGGGCAATTCTGTCCCGTGCAGTTTTTGATCAGTGTATGATGAAGTGTCTAAGATCAAATCATTGCCTTTTCTACACACAGACATATACTTGATGTGATGCTTAAGAACAGAGGTAACTTCATGACTCGATGCTTAGTGCCATGTGCTTATTATAAATGATTCCTTCAAACAAATGTAAACATGAACCAGAAAAATGTAACCTCAAGTTGATTATTTAACATCTTCACACCTATGTACAGCACCAGCATCAAATGACACGTTTACGAATCATAAAGGATAAGGAAGGATGCAGTCAGCAGGACGGCAGCAGAAACATAAAGCCTAATTTACATTGGGAGAGTTTACTGGAAGCAAGTGCTTGAAGCCACTAAAACCTCAGAATATAAAATAGCATTTCCACTAAACTTGCAACTGGCCTTCAAGTAGAAAATGAAGTTGTTGGAGAGGTGGCTGCTTGTGTGTCCACTTGCTTGCCACGTAACCAGCTTGATTCATCCACCATTCCCATCTAAACAAGCAAGCACCTGCTTCCTCATCTGTGCTTTATATCATTTTACACTTTCTTGTATGCATAGAAGTTCCAATGAAGTACAGCAGTCAAAACCAAATTGTGTTTTTTGCCTGCATCACTAGCTTGTGGGTAGAAAGAAAAATGCATTTACTATGTAAACCAAAACACTACGTAATATGGCGAGCTATAAAGTATTGCAGCTGAGAAATAATGTTTATAGTTTGGACAGTGCACCTCCCCCCCACCCCCGATCACCTTGCCATTTACAACTAATTGATGTGGAATCTGCAGTATTACTGCAAAAAAGCCTATCACAAAAATAACCTGAAAAATGATAGGTTTTGAGAATTTTTACGTAGAATACTGCAAACTACTAGGCATCTAAAACCTGGCACAGAGAGACAGATCATAAACACACATAAAACTTCACGTAAATGAAATGCTGCCAGGCTTATATGTCTATAAGTGAAGCCATAATGTAGGGTCTTGAATGTAGTCTTTTGGACAACAAGTAACATACCTAAGGGTTACCAAATATCAGAGGTGACCCTCAACATAGTTACATGATTTCAATTTAGCACATACATACCATCCTGATAATTTCCCAGAACACAGAAGCAAACAATGCACAGAAAAGCAGAAATGATTTTTGCTTCAGTAACAGAAAACTAACAATCAATTAGTGTGGAAATATGGAAAGGAATGGAAGGCTAAGCAAACAAGCAACACAGAAAGCAATGAGCAAGTGACAGAGAAAAGACGAACCTTTGTCCGGCTTGTGTCGCAGGTTCCACGTCAACCACCCTGTGAGGTGAATCAAACATAACAGAAATATTTATGAAGCACGTTGCAATGTGTGTGTGAACTGAATAAATGAAATTTACAGATTCCATTTACTAGAACTGTAATTCATACCACTTAACTATGTAAAGTAGTACTCCCAGTCTCTGATTTTCAAAAACAAAATTTAGATTGTATACCAGATTGTAGGTATTTCTAAGTTGTAACAGTAACATTTTTAAAAATGGGTAAAAGATCGAACTTCAAAGCAAGGAATTAAAAACAATGTCATAGGCAATTATTCAGGTTATATGTTCCTACTTGAGTTGTTGCAACAAATAAATTATTTCCACTTAGCAGAAAGCAGACATTTTGCAACCATAACATAACTGCAACTCTCCCTGGTTACTGTTTGAAGAAGAGGATGAAGGGAAGGGGACAAAGAAAAGAGGATGAGAGAAGAATGGAGGAGAAGACAATATCTTTAAATAATTTGTTCCTCTGCTTCTGTAAACATAAAGTTTTCAGCTTGATCCACAATTTAAGTAGTGTAGGAGATCTACAGGCACCTGAGCCAGGATTATTCATACACTGAATGCAGTTGGGGCAGTTTTTGGTGTTAACACCATTATGGCAAACAAAAAAGCTCTTAAACTTGTATGAACATAATGAATGTCTAACAACGACAAAACAATAAATGAAATCTCAGATCTAAAAGTTTGTGATGATGGTGCATTTTTAAAATAAGAAGTTTTCTGGGTGTGTTCCGTCTAATAAAATCATAAAATTGAACGAAGTTTCGGAGATGGGACTCTATCTCTGTCTTCAGGTATACCTACTCTGTTGGGCCCAATCGACAGAGCTAATCCCTATCTGATGCGGAGATAGGGAACAGTTATTCATTGATATCAAAAGTGTTACATGGAAATGAAGTAAAACTTTCTAACTTGATTTCAGTTCAAATACTCGAAGAAACCTGTTGGGTTAATCACAGTGTACAGCATATTACAATACGACTACACGCAAGGTTTTGTACCAAACGGCAAAACTGAAATCACACTATTTGAAGAACATCCTGTAATTAGTTCTGAAATTCATTTATACACACAGAAACTACATGCCCTTTTCCTAATGGCTTAATCTGGCTAACAACTAACATGACCCCTAACATCATAAATCAATACAAAAGTTAGCATCGTAATGCGAAGTAATAAATAAAAATACGGAACAATTTAAATTGAATGTTCCAGTATGACTTACCCCAGATCTAGCAGCGGATCGTCCCCACCTCCTAGAATGTCACTTGTACCCAGGATATGACTAATACTGAGCTCGCCACCTGATGAACCTGAGATTGGAGGCTTATTGCTGCAACTGCCAGTGCTAGATGAATGCATCTGTTGTGACTGCTCTGGTTTGTTCTTGCTGCTTGGGGTCTTACCCTCCCGTGCTGTTGCATCTCCCACTACTAAAATTGCCTACAACAAACAATGATAAATCTAAGATACATCTTCAGACTCGCCGCCATGAAAACCTCAAATCCTACTGAGATATAATGTTCTCATTAGTGTGGGAGGTGTGCGTGTATATTACAATATAACTGGAATTCAGTTGTCTTCATATATGTTACATTTTCATGTATGTGACCTTGCATCATACATCTGGCCACTGAAACGGCAGACACGCTTCAAAGAGTGGTTCAATGCAGCACTGTTGGGCAGGTACACAGAATTATGTTCCTTTTAAATCTTCCAGTTCTACTTCAGAAAATAACCCCAACAGTTCTCTCCAGAACGTCTTGTTGATGTCATAACAGGCTCCTCAGTCTTACCTTAAGAACAGCAAGAACTGGCCCCACTCTTATGTTGTTGTGGGCAGCAGCTAGCAGGTGGCGATCACAGCTCAGTTTGATACTGTAGCCAATACTGGTTGAGGCACAGGGTATGGGGTGTGGTGATGTGCCTGTATAGAAGTGCAATGCATCAGCAAGGATTCTTACCATGAAGACATACATTGCAGAGGATGGCTGTCTTCTGGGTTGTAGTGCCATGTAGTCTAAGAGTAGTTTACCAATGTTTCAGAGATCCTTATTGCCTCCATCATCAGGGCAAAGCACTTGTACAGTACTACAACACAGAAGACAGCCATCTTAATATTTTCTATTGTTTAGGACTCAGCTTCATGGCAACAGAGGCTGGCAAAATGTAGGGGAAATGAGGGGGAACTGTGCCTGGCTTCCATTCCTCACAGAGTCGCAAAACTGAGTCCCAAACAGTACATAAGTCTGCATGACAATCAAATCAATAATCTATCCCCAATCAGTAATGTTATTCAGTAAGATACAATACTGTGCATTTCTTAAATAATCAATTAATAAGCTGGTGTTGAACATATTCATTCTTTGGGTTCTGAGTTTGATACTTGGTCAGATGTGTGCAGATTTCTTCTGCTTACCTATGCCAAAGATTGAAAAAGAACTCTGAGAAAGTGAAGAATAATATCCACTGCTATCTTATAGAAATAAAAGCAATCTGATAACTGACCAAGTGAATAGAGGGCAGGCTGAGGGCACTCAACAGTCTTGAATAATCTTAACAGAAGATGGCAAGTCAGCCTGGCTCCAGCTTCTGCTTCTATATCAGCATCACCTCTACCTGTAAGTTAATGAAGAATAAATATAACTGTACATCCTAGATTGCCTTTCATCTTAAAAAGTGAGAAGCAGAAAACATTCACAAATCTTCTTATAACTTTAGATTGTGAACTTATGGATGTGACACCATGTAATCATGTAGGTGGTTACCATTGTTTTAAAGGAACTCAATTCTTCCATTTCCAGAATATGAAATGTCAGAAGCCACCTACATGAGTATACAGTGTCACAAAGCAGATCACATTCTAAACTTTCACAGCCTAGAAGATGGATGTCTTCTGAGTTGTTGTGTCATGTAGTCTGGTAGAAATTTACCAACATTTCAGAGATCCTTGCTACTTTTGAAATGTTGGTAAACTTCTAGCAGACTATAAGGTTCTACAACCTGGAAGACAGACTTCTTCATACTCACTGCCATGAGTACCTCAAATCCTACTTTCATATCCCAATTAAAACCTAAAATCTATCCTTATCAGACACAAAATAATCTTCTGACAACTACCTACTCTTTGAAAAATGAATTTAAAAAGGTACACTTATAAATATAAAATCTTTGCCACCTCATAATCTGTGTTACTACTTCACAATGCCTAGTCAACATAAACTTTATGCTAGTTCTTGAGTGGGGAAACGAAACTGGGTGAATTACATAAATTTGTTTTGTGTCCCTTTTCAGAGAAGCAGAATACTATTTTTGTAGAGTAAAAGTCTTGTTTTCAACATACGGCAGCATAATAAACTTGATATCATATTCTTGAGAAAAATAAATGACACTAATTACTGAAAATAGTGGCAGACCATGTCTCAATGAACTGTTGCTATGAACATAAGCTACGTCTTCTAACCACACTTCCAAAGAATTATTGAAAAAAAATGTAACATTCAAAAAGTGAACTATGGAAATAAAATATGAAATAAGGAAAACATAGATGTAAGACTCGTTTACCTTCATTGCACGCCTTTACTAATGATGGAAGTGCTATGTGGACCACAAAATCTTCCAATGAAAAACAATGTCGAGCTGGAATAAAATTATTCTATAAATATCAAAAACTTGTTTCTAGTATGAAATTTAACTGAATATAGAAATAAATTAACATAAATAGTAGCCAGAGAGTAAGCAAAACAGCAGTACATCTAGACAAGTACTGAGGTTTAATTTTATTATAGCTCTTACTAAACATTTATAAACAGGATAACAATCACTTCAAAGTTATCATTAATATGCAATACAGCCAAAGAAATTAATGGAGGGAGGTAGTGAAAAAAAAATTCTTTTCTCAGTTTCTCACATTTCCACCAGTGTTGTATTACTCCAAATCTTTTACAAATATAACCATTTTTA